TAATGGTCTAAAGAAGAAAAAACACATAATCATTATCAATTGATACAGAAAAAGTATTTGACAAAATTCAATATCCATCCATGATAAAAACTCTCAGCAAACTGGGAATAGAGAGGAACTTCCTCAACTTGATAAAGGGCATCTATAAAAAACCTAGAGCTAACATCGTACTAAATGGTGAAAGGCTGAACACCTTCCCCTAAGATCAGGAACAAGGCAATGATGTTCACTCTCACCACTCCACATTCAACCTTGTCCTGGAAGTCCTAGCTAGTGCAATAAGGCAAAGAAAATAAATAAAAAGCATACATGTTATAAAGGAAGAAAAAAAACTGTCCTTATTTACAGACAATATAATTGTCTACATAGAAAATCCTCAGGAATCTACAAAAAACTCATGGAACTAAAATGCGAGTTTAGAAAAGTCATAGGACACAAGATCAACAGAAAAAAATCAATCATATTTCTAGATACTGGCAACTGTCAAATGGAAACTTAAATTTAAAATAACATCATTTATAATGGCTCCAAAAAAATTAAAGGCTCAGGTATAAATCTACCAAAACATGTACACGATTTGTACGCTTAAAACGGCAAACGCTGACGCAAGAAATCAAAGGAGACCTGAATAAATGGAGAGGCATAGAGTGTTCACGGATTGGAAAATGCAACACAGTAATGATGTCAATTTTGCCTAAATTTATCTATAGATTTAATGCAATTCCAATCAAAATCCCAAAAGAATCTTTTGAAGATATAGATAAGCTGACCCTAAAATTGATTTTGAAAGGCAAAGGAACTAGAATAGCTAAAACAATTTTGAAGAAGACCAAAGTTAGAGGAATCATATTGTCCTATTTTAAGCTTTACTATAAAATTACAGTATCCAGAGGCTGGCCGGTGGCATAGCAGTTAAGTTTGCGCGCTGGGCTTCAGCAGCCCGGGGTTCGCAGGTTCTGAACCCCAGGCGCAGACAGATGCACAGCTTGTCAAGCCATGCTGTGGGGGTGTCCCATACAAAGTAGAGGAAGATGGGCACGGATGTTAGCCCAGGGCCAATCTTCCTCAGCGAAAAAAAAGGAGCATTGGCATCAGATGTTAGCTCAGGGCTAATCTTCCTCACACACACACACACAAAAAACCCCCAAAACCTACAGTATCCAACACAGTGTGGTACTGGCAAAGGTACAGACACATGGATTAGACTGAGAGCCCAGAAACAGACTCACACAAATATGGCCAACTGACTTTTTACAAAAGTGCAAAAGCAATTAAATGGAGAAAGAATGGTCTTTAAAAAAAAAATGATGTTAGAGCAATTGGACATCTACAAGCCAAAAAAAAAAACAAAAAACAAAGAAGGAAAGAATCTTGACCTAAATCTCACATCTTTTATAAAAAATAATGCAAAAAGATCTAAATGTAAAGCATAAAACTATAAAACATTTAGAAGAAAATATTTGTGACCTAGGGTTAGGCAAAGAGTTTTTAGACATGATGCCAAAAGCACAATCCATAAAAAAAAAAAAAGATAAATTAGACTTCACCAAGATTTAAAACTTTTGCTCTGCAAAAGACTCTGTTAAGAGAATGAAAGGGCAAACTACGGACCAGGAGAAAATATTTGCAAATCACATATCCAACAAAGTACTTGCATTCAGAATATATAAAGAATTCTCAAAATTCAATTGTAAGAAACAAACAACACAATTTAAAAAATGGGCAAAAAACTTGAACAGATACTTCACCAAAAAAGATACACATGGCAAATAAGCACATTAAAATATGTTCGACATTATTTGCCGTTGGGGAAATGCAAATTAAAACCACAGTGAGATACCACTACACACCTTTTAGAATGGCTAAAAAAACTAACAATACCAAGTTCTGGAGAAGATGCAAAGCAACTGGAATACATTGTTGGTGGGAAGGCAAAATGGTATAGCCACTCTGGAAAACAGTTGGGTAGTTTCACATAAAGTTAAACATATATTTACATATAACCTAGAAATCCCACTTCTGGGTATTTACCGTGGAAGTAAAAACTTACGTTCACTCAAATCTCTCTACAAGAATGTTTATAGCAGCTCTACTCATATCAGTGAAAAAAAAATGGAAACAACCCAAATGTACATTGGCAGGTGAATAAACCAACTGTGACGGATCATATTTCACAATGTGATGGCTACTACTCGGCAACAAAAAGGAGCAAACTACTGATAAGTGCAACAGTATACATGAATCTCAAAAACATTATGCTGAGTGAAAGAAGCCAGACACAAAAGAGTACATATTGTATAATTCCATTTATTTGAAATTCTAGAAAAAGCAAAACTAATTTATAATGACAACAGATCAGTGGTTTCTTGGGGACTGACTGCAAAAGCGCAGGAGGGGGCTCTTTGGAACGATGGAAATGTTCTATATCTTGATCATGGTGGTGGTTACATGGATATACACATTTATTAAAACTCATAGTTGAAATATTCACATCTTACGACCTAGCCGACTTGCTTTTAGGTATAGAGTGATGTTGATCAAACTGCTGGTAGAGGTCTATTATTAGTGAATCATTAAATCAATCTAGTGCATCTACCCGGAGGGGTATTTACCCTGAAACTAATGAAGATTAAGCTTCAGGCCCCATCACTTGCAAATTTTCTTCCAAGACCTGGTTACCAAATTTATATTCATAATTTTGTATTCTTTTTCTAAAAGGGGCCCCCGAATTGTGTAAACTTTAGGCCCCACAACACCTGGATCTGCCTCTAGATGATCAGAATTCTTTTTTTAATGAAATGGAATAGAAAATATGAGAGTGTTTTGTGAAACTTTTGTTTCGGTTTATATAATAGGTCATGACATAAAAATTTATTTCTTACCAGGGTTTGTGTTCAAAAAAAAAAGAAAGTTGGAAATTTAGTGCAGTACAGCAACCTATGCACATGTGCACAAGGACATATGTGCACATTCAATGCAGCACTGAAAGAGTAAATATTTGGAAATAACCTAAATGTCAATCAGTATGAGAATAAGTAAATACACTGTGGGATGTGTATGTTGTGGGATTCCATATAGCCAAAATGAAGGAACTAAAGGTACGTACATCAGCCTAGATGACTCTCATAAACACAATGTTAAGTAAAAATGCAACTTAAGGTTACCTAAAGCATAACATCTAGATAAAGTTTAAAACAATTTGAAAAATTGTCCTAAGTCTGGTAAATTTCTATGTACTGTTTCTAGATATAGTTATATACAGTAAAAATATTAGAATATGCATGAAGCCGATAAAAAACAAATTCAGGATAGTATCGTGGTTACTTCTGGGGAGGAAGGAGAGAGGGAGGGAATAATATAAGAGTACACACAGTGCTTTGATTTTATATGCAATTTCTATTTTATTTTTAAAGAATGGATTTGAGACAAACAAGGAAAAATGTTAAAATTTAACAAGGCTGGCTGGTGGGTATGTAGATTTTTGCTGTATTATTCTGATTCTTTTTTGATTGTGCTGCATCCTGTACGCATCTTGCTGTAGACGTTGGTAATAAGTGTTATTTCATATTTGTGTAGTGTGGACATTTACACACATCACACCACTTAAGCCTCATGATAACCTTATGCTGTAAGTAGGACAGAAATCATTATCCTTATTGCATGGAAAAGGAACCTAAGACTGCAGAACAGTTTATTAAGAACTGCACTGGGGACTTAGTTGTTCCTCGTTTAGCCTAGATTTGCATGGAAATCCACTGGAGAAGTTCCCTTCAAGTCCAGGAGACCTGATCCCACGGGCTCCTTCCCACCCCAACCGTGGGAAGGCACTTACTCACTGGGGGAATGAATGGTATTAATAATAGCTAAATGTGTGTTCAAAAAGCAGTCATTCCGAAGTACCAGAGGGGACCTCCAAGAATGACTTTGTGATGAGGTGGATACATATTTACAAGCCAATTCTTAGGAAGGCAGGCCGGTTCTCTTTTCCCGGCCGCCACCCACTGGCTCACTCAGTGACCTTGGACAAATTACTTAACCTTTTACTACTTTTTACAATCCGGTAAACCGGATGTGTAATATTTTTGACTGCTCACTCAAGGCTCCTGTCGAACACTTTTTGAAAATTAGGGACGGATTTAAGGTCAATCACAATGCAACAATGTCAACTCTTCAAGACAAATTACCTTTTCTGAGCCTCTTATTCCTCAAAGATTTTATTTTCACTCTCATTTAAATGGTGAGGGCTATTTTAAAGGAGGTTGAGTTTATACTTTTAAAAGATTAGTAATTTTAAATCACTAACATATGAAGGCCTTTCGTTGTTAAAAGATTAAAGCAACGCCTAACTAGACAATAAAAAGTGAGCAATTTATATTCTATTGCCCTTTTTGTCTGTACTGGCTCTCGAAGATTTTGGAAGCAGTTTGTTAACCATTAAGATTTAGAACCTTATTTCAGCACTGATAATGCCTTAAGAAAATCCTTTAGGTTCTGGGTATTATGGTGTAGAAGAAAAGAACAACTGCGCAGAGCGCTCCAAATCCTGGGAGAATAGGGAACGATAAGCTAGGAACCGGTGAGTCCTAGCGCGCCAAGCTAGTTCCCGACTTTGGCGATGGGTTGGAGCGGCTGCGGTGTCTCGCTTCGGACTGGCCCTGGAGGCTTCTGGCAAAGAACTTGAGCCCCCTCGAGGCCGAACTGTCCACAGAGCCCACAGGTCCCTTTAAGGCGCCCTGGGGCAAAAACAGGGGAGCGAGGGGGGCGGGAGGAGGGTTCGGGAGAGCACGCCACGTGACTCGGCTGCCAAGTTCGCTCGCGAGTTTGACAGAAGTTTGAATTGGACTCGGGGGCTTTCTGCAGCCGGTGGGGCAGAGCGGCGGCCTCGGCGAACGCGAGCAGCAGCGCCCCCGCGACCCACCCGGCCAGCCTGGATCCCGGGCCGCCGACGGCCGCTCGCTTCCTCGCCGCGGGTCAGCAGCCCCCGGCCCCACCGCGGTCCCTGCAGCCTCCGGGCGAGGGAGTGGAGCCCCCGCGCCGCGCCCCGGCCCCGCTGCGCCAGCATGTCCTCGACAGAGAGCTCGAGTCGCACGGCGGACAAGTCGCCGCGCCAGCAGGTACTCCCCGCGCGCCCTTGGGGCTCTCTCACCGCCCCTTCTCCACCTGGTTTCGGGCTCGATCTTGATTCCGCCCCTCTCTCGGGTGTGAGTGAGAGGAGAGGGACCAGCCTTTCCCGAGGTCTCCCACTGCCCTGACCCCCTGCTGGCCCTGTCTCCGCAGGTGGACCGCCTGCTCGAGGGGGTGCGCTGGAGGAGGCTAGAGGAGCCTCTGGGCTTCATCAAAGTTCTCCAGTGGGTGAGTTGCTGTCCCAGCCGCGGGCTATTTCGGGAACCTGGGCTGTGACGCTGACCCGAAGCAATGTGGCCGGAGTGGGGGGCAGGGAGGTACTTCGGCCGGGCCCCGGCGGAAGGGTGGGGGGCGGCGACAGGTGGGCGGGGGAGGGGCGAGCTGGGGCTGCTTCTCCAGCGCTTGATGGCTGGAGGGTGAGGAGCGAGGCATGCGGAGACCCGGATTCGGTCCTTCTATGTGCAAGGAGCCTTTGCCCAGGGCGCTCACATTTCACCCGGGCGAGAGGACCCGGGTGTAACCTTTCCAGAACTCTGATCCTGCACATACCACTCCTCGGTGGCGGGAGGGGGGAGGAGGACAAGGGGGACGAGGAAAGCCGCGGAGGGCAGAGGGGGGAAGGAGGCAGGCGATGGAAACCATCCTGCCTCCAAACCCACCAGGACCTGGCTGATCCTGGAGGTGGACTCAGGGGACAGGGTCTGGGCTGGCCATTGCCCTGCTGAAGTCACTAGAGTAATCTGGGTTCCTGTAACTGAGTGAGGGAGTAGATGAATGAATGAATGGAGTTCATGGCTCTAGGATTACATAAAAGAAAAAACTGAAGTCAATAAAAATCACAGTTTGGCCAAAATGTGGCTTGTAGAGTAAGAGAGAACGTTGAGCTGGGAAGCTGGGGCCCTGGGTTTCAGACCTGGACCTGCCTTTTTCAGCTATGTGACCTTGGGCAAGTCACTTCTTTGGACCTCAGTTTCCAAGGTTAGTCAAATGTTGATCAGACCATCCCTAGGGTCCCCTTCTGCTCTAAATGTGTTGGCATGCTGGAATATTGCCCTTCATTAGACTTACCTTGTGATCTTGAAGAAATCACTTGCCCAGGGCCTCAGTTTACCCTGTAATGGTCCAGGGGAAATACCTCCTTGCCTTACTGGGACTTTCAGACATTGGTGTGCTCTCTGTCCTTCCCAGTGCCCAAGGCCTCGTGGGTATAAATTAGGAATGTGGACAGGTGCAGTTACTCTTTCAAATCAGAAAGACTGGTTGGGAGCATTTAGTGCACTATCACAGAAGAGATTTAAGTTAGACAATCCACACACCAAATGGTGTGTGAATAACTTAATCTACTTTCAGCACAGAATTTAGCTAGGGAATAAGTTGCCATTAATACTGAGGAGGATTAAGTTCTAAAGAGCTTTTAACTCACTGGAGACAGGAGTTAGCACTGTGTTACGGATTCCTAAATCATTGTTTGGATGAGAATCATCAGATCTGAAATTCAGGGGCAATAGTGCATTTGGGGTTATCTCTGGATATCCGAGACCCTGACTGGGGCTACAGGCCAGCCTGGGGAGCTCCGAAGTGCAAACTCTGGGACCTGGTGGGGACTTGCCACTCTCTCTACTGCCTCAAGAGCAGTTGGACCAACTGCTGACTGAGCCCTTCCACCTCCCCCCACTTCCCTGTTCTGACCCACCACTTGAGTACTGGAGGGGGCGATAGAAGAATGATATTAAGGCTCCATGTCACTGCCATCCAGAATTAGGGAGCCATTATGAGCGATCCAGAGGAGTAGAACCTGAAATGTAAGAGGACAATTTTATCATTAAACTAGACAAATGGATCTAAGGGAAATTTGAGAAAGACTGTCAAGGGATGAGGGAAACAATGAGGTTATTAGACCATGGAATCATCCTCCACGGGGGGATTCTGAAAAGCTTCCTTCTTCAACCCTTCTACCCTTTTTCTCACCCCCCCACCCCCAATACCCACAAAATTTCTACAAAGGCTGCACAAAGCAACGCCTCGGGAAATGAGCCAGTCCTCTCCCAGGGTCAGCACTGATCCCTAAGAGTTAAGATCCCTTTGACTTTTATGATCCTCAACTTCTTAGAGAGGAGGTTATGTCTTTCTCTCATAATGTTAAATCCAGGGGCCCAGGGCTAGACTCCGAACTCAGCTTTCATTCGAAGGGTAGCATCATAAGGTGGTACCATTTGCTTTTACTTTCATCCTGGTGGCCTGAATTCAGAGTGTGAGTTTCACTTGCCCTGAGTCTCTGTGGATGAGCTAACATAAAAGTACACAGGAACCAGCACCAAAAATGACAGTGAAAATGTCATTTGGGATTTTCACTCATTTCCTGCTTGGAGTGAGTGAATGCTCTTGACTGAAAAAGGAAAAAAAAGAAAACACAAATCTTGCAGTTATTGTAATGATAATCGAAAACTTTTGTTGTCATTATTACTAAAAAGCAAAGGTTTTACTGGAATCCTGGTGAAAGGAAGGATTGTTAGTCTTATTAGTCAGAAGCTTGGCTTAGAGTGTCTTTTTAAAATTCAAAAATTAACTAATCTCACCTCAATTCCACATCTGGAGTCTTGCTAAATCTACACTAAGCTATTGAACTAACGTGTGCATAGACCAGTAATTGGAGAACTAGCTTTTTTAAAAAAGAAAAAGGCGGACTTTGAGGTTGGATGGGCTTTGGTTTAAATCCAGTCTCTCTGCTTTCTAGCCTTGGATCCTAGGGTAAGTGACTAAATCTTCATGGGCCTCAGTTTCTTATCTGTAAATGAGGGTAACGTCTATCCCCTGGACTCACTGGGAGGATCACAGGAGTAATATCTGTAAAGCATCCGAGCATTCAGGAAGGCCATGGTGAGCCCGGCAGTCCAGGAGGTATTTGGTAAGGTTGGTTCCCTTCTCTCCTACTCCCCAATTTCCCCTTTCCCGTAACTTTCCTCTTTATGCAGACTGTCAACTAGACTTGTCCTTTGGTGAGATTATTCAAATGTCACTGCCAAATCCTCACTTTGAGGGTAAGGTACAAAAGAATCTTCTCAATTACTCAGTCACCGTTCCCATAATAAGTCATATTATCATTAACTGGGTGTGCCCCTGATCAATAATTTACCTTTGAGGTGCCAAAGTCACTTATTTGGCTCTGGGGTCTCTGTAATGAAAATAAGCTATTTCAATAAATGTGGGGAATGTGAAAGTACACCATCAGGAGGCCAGCCCGGTCGGGTAGCAGTTAAGTTTGGGCGCTCTGCTTCGATGGCCTGGGGTTCAAGGGTTCGGATCTTGGGTGCGGACCAAGCCATGCTGTGGCGGCATCCTACATAAAGTAGAGGAAGATGGGCATGGATGTTAGCCCAGGGCCAATCTTCCTCAGCAAAAAGAGGAGGATTGGCAATAGATGTTAGCTCAGGGCTAATCTTCCTCACAAAAAAAAAAAAAAAAGAAGGAAAGTACACCATCAGAGTCCATAAAACCAATGAGATGATTGTGGGAGTAGGATTTGGGGGGAGAACTTGTCTTCCTTGTGCCCTGTACTAACTGAGGATGTTAGTGTTCTCCGGACTGACACAGGATTATCACCAACAAGCAAGTCAGCACCAAAGTGGAGCCTCATCCTTAAACTGGCAAGGTTATTCTGACATCTTTCAAAAAAAAATGCAGAGGCAGAAAGTGGTGGAGGGCAGTATGTGACCATTGCTGTCCCCAGCAATGCAGGTCCAAGAGGAGGAAGGCTGGTTGGCACCAGAACTCCAGAGATCCCCCCCTTGTCTCAGGGGTGCCGTCTCTCCTTGGCTTCTGTTCTTTATGACCAGTTTGCTCAACTCAGAGCCTTGTGCTTGGTGACGGGGGTGGTTTCAATTCTTTCCCCCTCTTGCCTGTGGCTTAGTCACCCGGCACAGTTAGGGAAGAAAGCAAATCTGGTGCAGAAAGGTGGAGGGGGCTGGGAGAGGGGTCTTTCTCTGCTCCTGCATCCCAGTGCAGAGTTACTCCCTCCCTCCTTACAATCCCCCCTGCACATAGTAGAGATCTCTTTTTTTTTAGCCTTAAAAGTTCTGTGATGCAGGGTTTGTTTTTCATTTTTTGTGGGGTTTTTTTGAGCATGACACTCTCCTTTCTGGATGTAAACTCTTGAGAGCAGGCACCGGCTCTTACTCATCTTCGTGTCTCCAGCACCTGACACAAAGCAGATGCTCGATAACTGTTTGTTGATTAAAGAATGAATGAAATAGAAAGAACACCGGACAGGGAATCAGGAGATGTAAATTCTAAGCCTAGCTCTCACATTGGCTAAATGTGACCTTGGGAAAGTCACTTAATCTTTTGGGACTTCAGTTTCCACCTCTATGAAATGAGACCGTTGTGCTTGATAATCTCTGAGATCCTTTTTGCTCAGCTGCTCTGAGACCCTGTGAGATTCTCCTTAGATTTCTTCTTTCATCCACTTACATAGCAAGCTGTCTATTATCTGGCACCATCTGACTTTGTGATGTTCAGATTTAATCATATATTCTGGTTAACAAAGAGTTATATAAGGTGTTTAGAGATTTCTGACCTTCAAAGAATCAGAATAGAAGAGAATACAGTTAATATTAAAGTTATTATGGGTATAGTTTGCCCATAAAGGAATCATAAAGTAGGGTTCAGGATTTTCAGAACCTCTAGATTGTCATCTAGACATAGCAGAACTTTCGGTGATGATGGAACAGTTCTCTAATCGGTGTTGTCCAGTGTGGTACCTGTTAGTCGCATGTGGTTCTTGAGCACTTGAAAGGTGGCTAGTGTGACTGAGCCACTGAATTTTAAATTTTATTTAATTTTAATTAATGTAAATTTAAACAGCCACACTTGGCTAGTGGCTAGTGTTGTGGACAGTGCAGCTCTAGAGTATGAGCTTCATGAGGACAGAGACATTTTTCTCTTTTGCTCACTGCTAAGTAATAGTGCCTAGAACAGTGCCTGGTACATAGTAGATGCTCAATAAATGTCATCTTTCTGTAGATGTTCAGGAGTGCCTGGCAAGAGAGTGCTGGTGAAGAGAAGGCTCCATAGAGCAGGTTCATTGCCCCAAGTTAGGAATACTTCCTTTCTTAGGGAACCTCTACAGAGCTATTCACTGGCTAACTGCCAACGGGGAAAAATATATCCAACTGTGCTGCCCTTCCTAGAATGTGACACCTTAATTGTGTCCAGTTCTGGACACCAGAAGCTAAGAGCAATAAAGAAACTTCTAAGAGGAATCAGATAACCACAGAGCTGACAAAAGATTAGAGAACGCCTATGAGGAAGAGCTAGAGAAGTTCTATTGTTAGGCCAGTGAGGCAACCTGGAGTTTGTAATGATGCAGAGGCTTTGGGCGACTTCTCGCCAGCTCTGTCAAGATGAGCAAGCAGGGTTCTACTGCAGCCTCCGTGATTGAAGTCGATGAGGAGATTATTCAGGCATTGGAGAGAGGTTATACCATCTCCTTTCCTGGATGTTTTTAAAAATGGAGACAATTCTCATTTGTCTGAATTAAGCCTCTTGGAAACAGAGAGGTGTCCATTATGACCTTTAGAGAAGGGTCAATGGCTCTCCTAGGGAGAAGATCTGCCAGGCCAGGAGATGCAAGGCGGGGCAGTGGCACCGGACACCACCCAGGGGCAGAGCACAGCTGCTGGCAAGTCCAGCCAAGAGCACACTGATAGTGTTACCCTTGGAGAGTGAGAGGATTACAGAGCTGGAAAAGGCCTCCAGATTGCCTACTGCAAACCCCTCATTATACAGATGAGGAAACTGAGACTCAGAGAGCAGAGTGACTTATTAGAGGTCACCCAGCTAATTAGTGACAGGGCCAGGACTAGAACCCGGATTTCTAGACTCCTAATCCACGTCTCTTTTCACTCCATAACACTATCGAGCGTTAGCAAAGTAATGTGCACACAACTCTGTTCTAAACTCTGGATTCAGGACTGGGATGTAGATTAGCTGTCTTCTGGGTGCTTAATGTCCAAGATACCGAGTCACAGAGAAACATACAAAAAATGAACAATTAACAGAATAAGCCCACTGCTTATAAGAATAATTACATCATGTACAAGCCAATGGTAAGTGCACAGGAAGTGGGGCCCAAACAGATGATGTGGGAGGATAAGAGATTCCAATTTCTCACCTCCTTTTCTAACCAAAGTGTGTTTCTCCAGAAAGCAATTTGAAAATCATAGGATGAGGGAATTTCATTTCACTCAAGGCAGGAGGTTTAGTAAAATGTGATGAAAGGTGGAGAGGAAAGCAATTCAAGTGATCTGAAACGCCTCTGGTTCTTAACACTGAGAAATGGCAGCATGAACAGATTACAGAGGGAAACTCCACTGGGGAAAGAGTGGAGGCTGATAAGGCAAGTGGAGGGTATTTTTCTCTGGGCCTGAGCCAGGACTGTCAGCATCGGCCCAGCCAGAGCTGTTGCTGAAAGGAAAGGTGCCTTTGGGGGAAGAGGAGTTAGGCTGGCAGTGCCATGGGACAGCAGAATGGCCCCCTGCCCCCTTGGCCCCACCGAAGGCTTGGCAGAAGTTGTTCCCTCCAGCTATACCTCCATTGAGGCAGGAAGCCACTGGAAGTTAGCAACAAGGTAATGACAAGATTCAATGACAGCTTCAAGGGAGAAATGGAAAGAATTCCATGCATGCCTGATCTAGGTTGGCGCAGACGAATGTATTTCTAGGGTGCCTCTTTCTTGGGGAGGAAATTCAAGCCCAGCTTTGAGCCAGAAGTTTCCAAAAGCCTAAATTGCTTTGTGTTAGTCATCATCTTAAGGAGGCTACCAATGGTCCCCAGTGTCACATCCAATGGGGAGACCAGGAAACTGTCCATTTCCTCTCTCTTCATCTCCCTCCCAGACACCACTCAAAGTCTACCATATTCATTTGGCTATTTGGCCCAGCACCCTGTGCAGTGAACACAGCACCCTGAGGCTGGAAGACCAATGGAAGCCATGGGTCCCTGCCCAGGGGGCACTTGATTAAAGAGAATCCATCCCCTCTTCTCCCCGCCCCCCATATCTGCACTTGCTGAGTGTCAGAGGGTGGTTCTGAAGGGATATACCTTGGCTGGTTGAGGCCTTCTGACTCTCAAAGGGGCTTCACTCTCCCTCAGCTCTTTGCTATTTTCGCCTTCGGGTCCTGCGGCTCCTACAGCGGGGAGACAGGAGCAACGGTTCGCTGCAACAACGATGCCAAGGACGTGAGCTCCATCATCGTTGCGTTCGGCTATCCCTTCAGGTGAGCAGGAATCGATTCCGGCCCTGCACAGCCCCTCTCACGGGATTTGCGGGACCTATTTGGTCTCTTCCTCTTCCAGAAACCCAAAGACCTTTTGTTGTGTGCCACTCCAGATTCAAATAGAATGACGAGACTTAGGTCCTTCCTGCCCTTTAGGAATTTCAGACACACTGACCAGAGACAAATATAAGGGAAACTCAGATAGACCATTGCTGCAATAATGTTCCAGTCCACAGATAACCCACAGCAGGTAACAACAGCTCCTACAGAAAGAACCTATGCACTTTGGGATGGGGGCTTATAGGAATCTAGGCAAGTTGCACAGGTCTCTCTGACCCTCAGCAGCCACCTCCCTACTTTGAAGGTAAGGAAGTGACCAGGAGATAGAAGAGAGAATAATACTCTTTCCTGGGTATTTGGGAGCTCATGGGGTGACCTAAGTGTTCAGAGGAGAATGGAGACAAGGGTCATCTTTTCGGAAATTGCTAGTAGTAGCAGCCAAGTTAGATTAACTGTCTCTTGTATATAATAGGGTGTTTTTCTCTCTTTATTTTACCCAATATAGTCTCATTGGGGGGCCTAAATAAGGCCTGAAAATGGGTGCTTCCAACCTTAACTTGGCCACTGTGGGCCTGTGCTTGCCCAGGGGCAGAAGGAAGCTGATCTCCCTGGTGGTTTGGCTACCAGGAATAGGACTATATATATAATAGGACTATATATAGTTGGCTACCAGGAATAGGACTATATATATTGTGGTTGTGACCTAAAGGGCCCTGGAGATGCTTGGAAATATGTGGTCGCCATATCTGGACAGGGTGGATGAGTGTGACGTGGTGGCTGAATGGGAGGTAGGGTTTGAGCGGAATTCTAGGGAAATTCCTTCCCTCCAGAAACATTCCTCCCTCCATGCCCCTTTTCTTGGCTCTGTAAGAGCCCTAGCATGAGAACTAGCACAGGACTACTCCCAGGGCAGGGAGAGCCCCCTGCCTCCACAGGGAGAGGACTGCTCTGAGCTCAGGATGGCCTCCCCTGCCACCTGCAGGTTGAACCGGGTCCAGTATGAGATGCCCCTCTGCGACGAAGAATCCACCTCTAAGACCATGCACCTCATGGGGGACTTCTCTGCCCCTGCTGAGTTCTTTGTGACCCTGGGCATCTTTTCCTTCTTCTATACCATGGCTGCACTAGTCATCTACCTGCGCTTCCACAAACTCTACACGGAGAACAGGCGCTTCCCGCTGGTGGTGAGTGGGCACAGGCCAGAGGGGATGGGGTAGAGAAACTGAGGAGACGTACCTTCTGGGGCTGAGGTCATTGCTGGAGGGGAGGACAAACCTGGTGGCTTTCCTGGGTCCCTGACACCCATATGTGGAACTTCCTGAATCCCCCTGCCAGCTCGTTGTTGGTGGTCCTTTTTGGTGCTGTGGCTCCCATAGTTCCTCGGGCTAGTGGAAGGCCCAAGTCTCAGGACTCTGCCTCTACCTACCTCCTACCGCTTGCTCTGCTCACAGGAGGCACGATAGCATCAAGAAGCAGGCTCTGGAGTCAGATGGCCTGAATTCAAATCCCGTCACTGTCCCGCACTAGCTGTGTGCTCTTGGACAAGTTACTTAATCTCGCTAAACCTCAGTTTCCTCAACCATAAAATGGGAATAAAATAATACTTCTCTCATAGTCTTTTGAGGAGATAAAATGAAAATGCATGTAAAATATCTGGTGTATAGTTAGCCTCAATAAGTGTTAGCTATTATTAATGTTATTCCCCCTTTACTTTCTCCCTGTCCCAGGCATGGAAGGTGGAAGGGGTGCCTTAGGGAACCCCATTTGTCTCCTGCAGTTTGCTCTCACTCTGCCACCAGTTGTAGCTGAGCAATGGTTACCAAAGGAAAGGCTGGGAGGGGAGAATGGGGAGTTCAGGCCAGGGTTTTGGGGTGACACCAACCAGCAGATGCCTTGGTACCTTGTTACCTGACCTCAATTCTAGGGCATGGGTAAGGGTAGCCCTGGGTGGCAGGATTCTTTTGGTGGCAGTGAACAGATTCCTCAGGACAGTCTGGGCTCCCTGAGGCTCTAAGTGTTGGGTAGGATGGGAAGAGGCAGCTGTCCTGGGACCCCAGGATCCCACTGCATTATGGCAAGAGGAAAAGAAGTGAGGAAACATGGGGGCCTTTCTGAGTATATTTCCTGTCCCTCTGCTCCTCCCAGGACTTCTGTGTGACTGTCTCCTTCACCTTCTTCTGGCTGGTAGCTGCAGCTGCCTGGGGCAAGGGCCTGACCGACGTCAAGGGGGCCACACGGCCATCCAGCCTGACCGCAGCCATGTCCGTGTGCCACGGAGAGGAAGCAGTGTGCAGTGCTGGGGCCACTCCCTCCATGGGACTAGCCAACATCTCCGTGGTGAGACCTGTGGCCACTGGAGGGGTCTGGGGGAGACAGCACTATCCCAGCTGCCCACGCCTGTCCCAGGTTCTGAGAGGAACAGAGAGGATGTCCCCACAGCTGATATCCCCTGCCCCTGGAGCCAGTGGCTCCCTGCGTCTAATGCTGGGTGCTGGTCCCCGGCTGACCCTGAGAAGACGTTTTGGGATGGGGGGAACCTGAGAGCCACTGAGCCTCCTTTTCCTTCCTCCTTCTGTACTCTCTCTTCCCGTTTCCCTTCTCTTCTTCCCACCTCCAGGCATGCTCTCTGTGACTGCCTCCCATTTCTCCTGCCTTTTACAACATGTGTGTGTGTACACACATGAGCACGTGAAGGGGGGACATAGGGCTGTGGCTGGGCTCAAAACTGGGAGCAGACCCAGAGTGGGAGAGAAGGGGATCATTGTCTTTCAGGCCTCCAGACTGGAAAAGGGCTTTGGGCAGTGATGGGGCCAGATGGTAAGCACATGTTTGGCTATCCCAGTTGTTAGCACATTGAAATATTTCCATACCAGTTAGTAAATAGCTGAGGCCTTGAGCTTTTCGAATGCCCCTGTCATCCCAGCCACCTCGGCCCTGCCCTGAAAATGGCTTGAACCTCCCCAAGGCCCAGCAACTGAAAGGTTTAATGGCTGGCATACCAGGGAGCTTTCTAGACCTTGCTGGAACCCTGCTGATAAGTTTTACCCTCCAACATTTTATTGTAAAAATTTTCACACATACAGCAAAGTGGAAAGAATTTTACGATGAACACCCAAGTACTCATCACCTAGCCTGTACCATTAACATTTAACTTGACTTGCTTTATCACATATCTATCCACCTCTCTTCATCTATCAATCTACCTTATTTTTAATGTATTTCAAAGTTAATTGCAGACATCAGTACACTTCCCCCTAAATACTTCCTGCTGAGAGGTTTTTAAATATTTTGAATGAATATTTGAATATAGCCCTGGCTGGGTCCCTGGGCCTAGGGAAGGAGCACCTTGGACAGCTCTGGACACACCCACCCTGCAGAAGGCTCTCTGAGCAAGGGCACGCTTGCTGTGGGAAGCACCACTAGGGCCCTTGCGCCTTGTCATGCTTTGCACGATGCTCCACTCCAGGGGCCAGATTCCCCTAGCGACCAAGTCACAACTTGGGTGCATGCTGTGGACAAAATTAGACACTTTCACCAGAGAATCCCTTAGCGGGTGATGGACTTGAACCTACTTCTATATCCAGTTCTCTTTTCGTCTTTCTAGCATTTGGTACCCCTTCACACAGGTATTCCCCCTCCCTGTTCCCATGATGCCCCCCTTACTATTCTCACAAACTCCCCTGATGTCTTTGCAGCTCTTCGGCTTTATCAACTTCTTCCTGTGGGCCGGGAACTGTTGGTTTGTGTTCAAGGAGACCCCATGGCATGGGCAGGGCCAGGACCAGGACCAGGGCCAGGGCCCCAACCAGGAGAGCGCGGCTGAACAGGGAGCAGTGGAGAAGCAGTAAGCAGCCCCCACATTGGCTACTCCCGAACAGGACAGCACCTCTTCAACCACCTCCGGCTTCCAGGACATCCCTCTTCTTCCTCCTCCAACTCCCCTCCCCCATCATTCTGGGCTTTGAGTTCTGAGACGTCGATGGATGGTCAGACATCAGATGTCAGAAACCTGGGCAGCCCCCCAGTGGCCTCCTATCCCTCCTCTTACTGGAGCCCCGGATGGCAGGAGCTCAGTGCTTCTTGTCCCCTGCCTGGACACAGGCATCTTTCTTGGGGTCTTACTCACACCTTCACAGCCTCTGAGAACCAGCCTCTGCTGCAGGCAAGGGTTGGGGACAGGAGACCAGAGTCCTGAGACTGGTTCCTAGCAGCCACTTCTATCAACCTGTCCAGCTTCAATAAAAGTAGAAGGAGGGGAAATTGGCTGGCAGCCTTCTCCCTGGTCCCTTGCATGGAGGCCCACCAGTGGTTTAGTGACCCCTCTTCAATGGCTGTCATCTAGGCCCTGTGTCTGCACTGATCTCCAGTCAGCCGAGCTCAGTATGCTTCTCACTCTCTCCTCTGGCCTCTGTTTGACCAGAGAATCCACAATGTGTGAACCCGGGAGGCCAACTAGCCTGGAAAACAGCCCTTCAGAGGGTCCTGATGAGGCCTAGACTCACGGGGGAGCAGATAAATTGCAACTGAGTTGCAGCTTCAAGAAACTAAAGCCAGGAAACTTTTTGGGGAGTCAGTTTCTTCTATTCCTTCAGTCCTCCCACCTCTCTAGACTGGGGCACTTTCCACCAACACTCTACTCATACTTGCCCTGGAAACTCCTTACCTTTCTCCCTGTCCTCCTTCTTGGGCTTGGTCTCGCACTTGGGACACGAGATGAGGGGTCTAAGAGCATCTCCATTTCAGCCCTCCCCCACTCCAACCTCTCTGTCTATCTCTCCCTTCCCCAGCCTCCTGGGTCTGAGGCATTCAAGATCCTTTTTGAAGTCTGTCCAGGCCTTCCTTTCATTCCTGTGGGGCCAGACAGGGACTTTGGAAGGGCCCAAAGGACCATCATGAGGCTAAGCTGTCCCAGAGCCCCTGGATATGGACGGATGGGCCCATTTTTTCCTCACTCTCTGCTCATTACTTTTTTCCCTCCCTGCTCCTTCTCTGGCCCCTCTTTCATACTTTCCTTTCTCACCTGTTTGAAAGGACACGCCCTCTCCCTTTGCCCTCCATTCCTCCCCTGCTTCCTCATTTCTCCCAGTTTCACCCCCCCCCCCCCCAAATCTAACAGCCCCCACCCCCCCAGCCCCTACAGTCCAGGGCAGGCCGATGTTATTGGTGCTTCTTCACTTCGGGACCCAGTTCCATATTTGTCCTTGGTGTGTCTCCTCTTCCTGACACCTCCTTCAGTCCCTCTCTGGACCCCAGGGCCTAAGAGTCAGTGCTGACTGGGTAAGGGCCATCTGTCTCCTACCCAGCTAGAAATGCTTCAGTCTGCCCTGGCCACAGGGCTGCCCACGGAAGGATGAAGAAGGAAGAATCCAGCCATTTTCCAATCCAGTGCCAGTTAGCTCACTTATCATCCCAAAGGTGAATGTGCCCTGTACCAATCTCTCCTCAGGACTGAATAAACCCCTCCAACCTCCTCACCTCCCTAAACACCATCCATAGTAACATGTACATTACTAGTACCCAGGAGTCAACACCTTTGACTTCGGGCCAATCATTTCTTCTTTGGGTCAGAGTTTCCCCACTTGACAGGGGAAGTGTGAGATTTACATCCTCAAATGCTCCAGAGTCTTTCAGTGAAAGAATTAGGTTTTTTGTTTTGTTTTGTTTTTTAGATGTTGGGGAAGGGATTTGAGGAGGGAAGAGAAGATATGGGGATGAGAGTATTTCTAAGTCTGAACCTCTCTCTGTCCTGAGCTGTCCCCATGGTTACTCAGGGATAAGGGGGGACAGTTTTGCCTACAGCTTCAGAGACACGGAGAACAAAGGGGTGACCTTCATTTTCCTTCAAGCTGGCCCCTGTGAGGGTCTGTGAGCAGCTTCTACTGGAACTTTGTTTGGATTCTGTGTACGTATTTATAATTTATTTGAAATGTGATGGATAAAGTGTTCTCATTTGGGGGCCTAACTTAGCAACTGGCCCTTCAGCTAGGGAAAGGGGGGTGGGTCTGCACTCCTGCCAAGGACTCCTAGCCCAGAACTCTCCCTAGAGCAGAGAAGGCCCTTTCTCTTCCTCAAGAGGCTGGCTTGTTCTCAGCCAGAAGAGACTTGATTTAGGCTATGGCCTCTCTTCATGGCCATCCTAATAGGAAAAGCTACTTCACGTCATTACCTCCAGAGGGCAGGGCTGGGCCAAGTGCCAAGGGCAGGGCTGTCCTCATAGGACTCATGTCCCCTCCAACCAGGGCTGGCATCACCGCTTTGCCTAGTGGGACCTGAGGTAGGAGAAGGTGTCTGGTTTCTCCAGCTGCTGCAGGAGGCCAACAGGCAGGGCACCTGCCCTTTGCTCTAGTAAACTTTGACCGTGCCAGGGTGCCCACCTAGGACCTTTCCTGAACATGAGTTCCCTCCACCATCATGGTCATAGGTCTCCTACTTCCAGGACTGCAGATCAGTGGTGGGGGGAGAATGTTGCATGTTGTTTTCTGGTGCTTGTCATTACACATTTGAATAAACAGTGCTTCAAGCATTTGCCATTAAGGAGCCAAGACTGGAGCCCTTCTGGGGATTTTTTTTCCCTCTTTCCCCCCTTTAAGTTCTTGGACAAATGTCAGCATTTCCACAAAAACATCATTCCACTCCTCTCCACTCTGCACCCCAAGCAATAAAGTCTGCAGGCTGAGGAGTTGTTTCTGGCAGGCCCCAGTCTCGTGACATCTCCTCTTTTGGTGGCACCAATTAGTCCAAAGTAACTGAGACTCATTAGCAAATTGAGAGCAAACTCAAAAGGCGAGAAATAGTGGCTTCCACAATGCTGTTTCCATTTGCTCTCCTACCATCTGTGACTTAGACAAGCTTCCTGTCAGGAGTGGAGGGCCGTACGCTTTGCCCTCTTAACTATAAAGGTTCTTGCTGAACAAACTTGCATCTCTATCCCCCTTCTGATAGACAGTCACACGCTACATTTACATTCCCTAGAAAAATACACTTGGGCACAATATTACATTCAATCTCACCAGGTTCCTGGACCCCCTAGAGATCATCTGTGGCTCTCAGGTTAAGAATCTCTGCCCTTAGAGATTATCCTTGAAGTACTTAAACCTTCCCTGGGTGAAAATTAGAAGAAAGTCTGCAATCTCGAGGTCACAGACCTTGACTTATTTTCCTCCAATTTGGTTTCCCCTTAGCTGAAGGAATGAAAATGGGATGAGGTATGAGAGATTGAGGAAGGAGAAAAGAATTAGTATCTTTTTTCTGATGTGATGGGGGGGTGGCCAAGCTTTTGTCTCATGATTGTGTGAGGATGGAAAGAAATGTTATTAGCTGAGAAGAAGAAAGAGGTGGATGATTAAGGTATTTTCCAGGCCTTAGCAAGGGAAATGACAGATCTGATGAGAAATCTCCCTATGCCAAGGCTCTGGTAGCAGCCCTTCCAGCAGAGAAAATATTCATTAGAAGAAGAAGCGACAGTGATGGATGGAGTCAGGGTCCAGCCAGGGTTTGGGAAGAAGCGGTACAGGGTATCGATCGCAGTTCTCAGGAGGAGAGAGACAGATCAGCAGAGATGCTGCAAACACCAGCAGCCTCGGGGCCACCCCAGTTCCGGGGCTGGCTTTGGCTCGGAGATAGCCTTCTGTCATCCTGACAGGTGATCTTGGTCAGCTCATCTAAGTCCTCCCGAACCCAGACAACGCCACTTCAACCCTCTGCTCTGCATCAGAGCAGCATGGGTTTCCCACAGAGGAGGGACAACACGGGAGCCGAGGACCCTCCCCCACTTCAACCCTTGTGTCCTTCAGCACATCCTACAGACTCCCTCCCCTTGCCCGTCTGATTCACAGCGCCCACCTCCATGCACCTACCCTATTCGATCTACAGAGGAGCGAAGTCGCTTCGTGGCCGCCAGCCCAGGAAGGGGCGCCAGCCAGCTGGCGGAGGCACGGCTTAGAGGGGCGTCTTGGGTAGAGAGACGTTTGGGGCTGGGGTGTGTGTGCAGTGAGCTTGGGAGAGTGGGCTGGTAGCACAGAGAATGTGTGTACAAGGGTTAGGAGAGAGGTCCTGGGGTTTCGGTCTCTTTTTCCCCTGCAATTGTGTATCTCGGAGGGGCTCTTGCTGCAAGCTTGGTAGGCAACAGCACCCCCCTCCAAGACTACACTTCCCAGAAGGCTATGCGAGAGGGAGGGTGAGGGGAAGGCGACTTGGGCTGCGCTTGCGCAAAGAGTGAGCTGGAAAGGTGGGAGGGAGAGGGGAGGCGTGCCCGCGGCGGGGCTGGGGGGAGGGGGCCGCGCGGCGGCGGCGCCCGGGCGGGGGGACTGCGCGCTGATTGG